ACCCGCTTGCAGCCCCTTTCAAGCTCGCAGAGGTGCTGCTCGTCTACAGGCCACCCAGAGAGCCCTCTTTCTAGCCCGGGCTGGTTCACGTGTTCTCTTAAAGGGCCCGTTTCAGTCCGGATTACACCTAAACGCAAACACACAGTTAATGGTGATTAACGGCAACAATAATCAAGCAAATACACTAAGTAAATTGCTGTAACAGGAAATGAAAGAGAAAGAAAAGAAAGACTCCCTTTCGTTCGCCGGCGAAGAAAATGGAAGACACGAAGTCACCCGGCTCAGATAGCCCTTCTTCCCGGAACCCTCGGCACAGTTGCGGCTCGGTGGTGGTCAACGAACGGCGACCCCGGTTCCTCAGCCCGCACCCTGGGCTGCACCTCACCCACACGAGCCCTGCACCCGGTCACCCGTCGCCTAACCCCTCCTTCTCGCACAGAGATACGCCGGAAGCCCCCACGAAGAGCTCTAACCGGCGGGTTGAATAGGGCGACGGCGTGGCGGCACAGCGGCTGCAAGACGGCGACTCTCAGCTCTCACACAGGCTCTCACGGCGTCACTCACAGTGGCTCTCACAAGGGACGAGCTCTCGGAGGCACTCACACTCACACACTCTAAAGGTCACAAAAGAACAGATAAAGAGATTGAGAGAGTGCTCTAGTTTTTCCTTCACTCACAGAGAGAGAGAGAACAGGCGTAGCAAGAGGAGAGAAGAGAGTTACTGTCGTGTTGTAGGCGGAGAAATAGAGATAGGGTAAATATAGGAACAAAGGGATGGTTAGGATTCAATCCCTCAATCCAGCGGCTTTAATTAAACCGGGTAAGGGCCAGGCCCAGACGAGCTTTGGGCTGTGACATCCTTGGGCCTGAGAGTTGGGCCAAATTTCCAACATTTCTCCACCGATTTGGCCAACCACCGAATACCGAACACCTTGAGGGACCGGAGGACTTTCATCATCGCCTTACCTTACGGTACCTGCACTTAAACACAAAGTTAGAGCAAACATGTAGCGAACACAACGTCGGCTACGTCACAAAAATGCACAAAACACCTGTCAATCACATGTATCAAAATTAGAATTTTCAAGCAACATGACACCCATTTGGAAGCATATAGAGCTCTATCTCTTCTAGATCTATCTCTAGCCACATGATAATCATTCAAATCACCAAGATCAGGTTCATGCAAATTTTCAACAATTTCCTCATGCACATTAGCATCATCACCATGATTATCAAACACATTTATAGATAGACTATCAGAAAGAGAGTTTTCACCAAGCACAATAGGCGCATATTGCACATATTCACCATGCACCTCGACATTTTCAGCATTTTCAGCATGCTGATTTTCAGTTTCAGCACGCACAAGTTCATTTTCAGCAATTTCAGCAGGTACTTTATCAAACACAGCACGTTCAGTTTCAATTTCAGCATGCAAATTTTCAGAATTTTCGAATATACTTAAACCACTCAATTGCTCCATCGCATTTGGAGCATTTTCAGATTCATTAGGCAAAGGAGCAGGCAATGAAGCATTTAAACATGACATTTCAAATTCATTAGAAAACAACATCACGACTTATCACGACCTTAAAGTCGGGTTCACTTCTAAGGCACAATCTATAACCTTTAACACCTTCATGATATCCTAAGAAAACACATTTCATTGACCGAGGTTCAAGTTCATCACGTTTCATATCACAAAATGCAGCACAACCGAAAACACGCAAGTTTGAATATGGCTTGTCGAAACATATTCGAATTTTTTCACTAGTTCTTTAGGGGTATACCTTGGCTTTTGCATTTTTTATTAATTTGTCTTATCCTTTTTTATTTTGTTTTTGTTATTTTTTTTTCCTTTCTTTTCTTCGTTCACTTTCTAAATTATGCGTTTTATTTGAGCTATTGCTATAAGCTTGTCAAATAAAGANTTTTTTTGTATTCATTTTTCCCTCTGTTGCATATTAGTAGCTGAAATTTTTGGTTTATTATATTATTTACCTATTTTATATGATAAACAGTATTGTGTATTCTAAGACTACGAATAACAGCAATCGTTTCAAACACACAACCATCCAACCACCCTAATGACAGAAGAGCTCTGTGGTGGCTAGGACGGTGTAACCTAAGTTAATTTGAATCTCATGCCCTATAAATGTTTTTATTTTGCAAATAGAACTCTTATATTAAACTATAAATCATATAGAACTAGTACAGATCCCGTGCGATGCACGGGGTGCACAATTTTAAGGCTATTTATCCAGGCTTATAATTATATACATGAATAAAGAAAAATGTACGGGATATATATAGTACGTGACCCGTGCGAAGCACGGGATATATTTATTTGGAGAATATTATATTATAAGATGCAATATTCAATAAAAGGTTGTAATACGCAAGAAAATTGTACAATGTTCAATAAAAAGTTTTATAATATTCAAGTGGAGTCTTAAAGTCTCTTGTACATTAAGACTACTGACAAAATAATATTTTAAGCAATAAGTTTCCTTTTCTTGTAGCCAAATTGTGAATGTGATTTGCGGAGTACAACAAATCGATATATAGCTTACTTGCTTTTTTCATTGTATTTTTTTTCTTTTTTTTTATAATGAATTTAAAAAGATATTCTAAAATATAGCAAAAATTAATTTTTTTATTACAATTGGAATTTTACTAAATATAGACTCTCAATCTATGGTGTTAATCAACGTTTAAGTCTAAAAAATTAGGAATTTTTACCTCTTTTAATCAACGTTTAAGTCTAAAAAACAATAGAGTTATTATAAGTTTTTTTCTACATCTTTCAAAACATTAAATATGAGCATGTCAGGGCTAGCTTGTAAAATAATTAATATATTATCTCACTAAAACATTTATACTAATAAAAATTTAATTTTAGCAGATAAATTTATCCCTTGATATAAGAGAAAGTAACAGTTTTACTTATTGTTGTTCACCATATAATATTTAATTATTATTTTATTATATAATAAAAAAGGAATATTGTTAAATAGTGTAGTAGATTTGTTATAAAATTATATGATTTTTTTTACAATATGGATTTAATATTTTTTTATGATTTGATAATATAAACAAATCTATACTTATGTTTGACAAATAAAACAAATAAATATTTTAGTAAGTATTTAATGTACATACTAAATAGGAATATATTTTGTATAATCAACTACCAAATATAATCAAATAAGTCAAGTGTACATTTTTATTTGGTATTTGATTTTTATATTATTAAAATCTTTTTATTATACTTTCATTTTTAAAATAAAACAAATAAATAAATCAATTAAATAAATAAAATATTATAATACCAAAATATTAATGACATTTAATGTTTTCTGGATAGTAAATGTAGTAAATGGAATCTCCTTTTATATAAGTATAGATATGATATTACATTATGTTGTTCAAAATAGTAATGCATTTATTGCATTGACTTTTCAACTTACTAAATTTCGTAAATGATACACCTTATCTATACTTATATTAAAAGGTATACCATTTACCAGATTTAGTATAAAGAAAAGTCAACAACATTTATTGCATTACTATTTCCGTATTATACAATCTATACTTATATAAAAGGAGATTCTATTTACTATATTTACTATCCAGAAAAGTCAACTACATTAAATGCCATTACTATTTTGGTATTATAATATTTTATTTATTTAATTGATTTATTTATTTGTTTTATTTTAAAAAGGTAAGTATAATAAAAAGATTTTAATAATAAAAAAATCAAATACCAAATAAAAATGTACACTTTGATTTATTTGATTATATTTGGTATTTGATTATACCAAATATATTCCTATTTAGTATATACATTAAATACTTACTAAAGTATTTATTTGTTTTATTTGTCAAAGTTAAGTATAGATTTGTTTATATTATCAAATCATAAAAAAATATTAAATCCATATTGTAAAAAAAAAATCATATAATTTTATAACAATTCTACTACACTATTTAACAATATTTCTTTTTTATTATATAATAAAATAATAATTAAATATTATATGGTGAACAACAATAAGTAAAACTGTTACTTTCTCTTATATCAAGGGATAAATTTATATGCTAAAATTAAATTTTTATTAGTATAAATGTTTTAGTGAGATAATATATTAATTATTTTACAAGCTAGCCCTAACATGCTCATATTTAATGTTTTAAAAGATGTAGAAAAAAAACTTATAATAACTCTATTGTTTTTTAGACTTAAACGTTGATTAAAAGAGGTAAAAATTCCTAATTTTTTAGACTTAAACGTTGATTAACACCATAGATTGAGAGTTTATATTTAGTAAAATTCCTAATTGTAATAAAAAAATTAATTTTTGCTATATTTTAGAATATCTTTAAATTCATTATAAAAAAAAAAAAAAAAAAACTACAATGAAAAAAGCAAGTCAGCTATATATCGATTTGTTGTACTCCTCAAATCACATTCACAATTTGGCTACAAAGAAAGGAAACTCATTGATTAAAATATTATTTTGTCAGTAGTCTTAATGTACAAGAGACTTTAAGACTCCACTTGAATATTATAAAACTTTTATTGGACATTGTACAATTTTCTTGCGTATTATAAACTTTTATTGAATATAGCATCTTATAACATAATATTCTCCAAATAAATATATCTCGTGCATCGCACGGGCTCTGTACTAGTTATATAAGTATAGATAATAAAAAAAAAGTTTTTGTAGCAACGGCGTGTGACACACACGCACCGTTAACTTGGACAAAAAAGGAGAAAACGTAAATTTTAATTACTTAATTATAAAGGGGTCGAGCATTTTTAAGAATATAGGGGAACACACAATATCAAATAAATGCAGGGATTTCACTCCGTATATCTGTTTGAAAATATTTTAAGTGTTACTGCTCTTTGCAGTACACGGGCCAACATTTGAAATGAAATAAATATCTTGTGGTAATTTTATATATATATCGGTTACCAAGGAACCTGATTTTGTTTTCTGCATAATTTTATATATTAACTAAACAGGTTTATATTTTATCAGTATATGTTCTGATTCCTAAGAAAATGATAAGAACGGACCAGTCCCAAACCTATTTAACTATTGGGATATATATTATAGGAATCAAAAACATGATAAAATAGCAGCTAAAACTGGGAACATGATTACTTATGTGGTGGACTTCAAGCCAACTAAACTAACATTTCATATTATGTATATTTCCTTATAAATATATTTGCATATTCAGGAAAAATTCCACCAATAAAACCCCTATATAAAATCAGAAAATGTTTAGTTTCCTTACCTATTTTGCTTATCATGACCAAACACATACTGTAATCTAGAAAAGATTATGCATTGAAGTCAAAAACCATGCTTCCAAACATAGCCTCACCTCCAAAAAAACAAAGCAAACCTTAAAGCCACAGCCATCTTCACTTGAAAGCAAACACACAACACATCCTATAAAAACCCCTCCAACACAATCCCAACTTAATCAAACCCAACAAAAAACATAAACACCATTAAACCAAACATGGCCTTCCAATCATTCCCTAAGCTACTCTTCCTCGTGGGCCTCGTCTTACTCTCCCTCTCGATTGCGGCCCAGGCCCACGACTTCTCGATTGTGGGCTACACTCCAGATGACCTCACGTCCATCGACAAGCTTATAAACCTATTCGAGTCGTGGATTGACAAGCACGGCAAGAAGTACATGAACATTGAAGAGAAGTTGCATAGGTTCGAGATTTTCAAGGACAACTTGAAACGCATACACGAGCGAAATAAGGTCGTTACCAACTACTGGCTCGGGTTGAATGAGTTTGCCGACTTGAGCCATGAGGAGTTCAAGAAGACGTATTTGGGGCTCAAGGTCGATAGGCTCCCAAATAGAGACGAGTCCACTCGGGAATTTAAGTATAGGGACTTTGAGAACGTGCCAAAATCGGTCGACTGGAGAGAAAAAGGGGCCGTTACCCGTGTCAAGAACCAGGGCACATGCGGTATGCATTTTTCCCTTTTTTTTTTTCGCGTTACATGAGTCGATGACCATGACACGAACTTCTCGAAAAAGGCCCGGTTTTAATTTTTCGACAATGTTAAATTTATATATACTAGTAAAAAAATATTTTAGTTTATGTTATATTCTATTGGCAGTGTGTTAATCTTATGTTATCCCAAGATTAGTTGAATTTATTTTATATTAAATCAATTAGTTATATGCTTAAACATAATTTTGATTCTCTTTCCACTTCTTTTAGCTTATTATGCCTTTTTTCAGTCTTGTGTTGGTGTTTATTATTTATTATTTAGCTAAATCAGTTCAACTGTTCATATGATTAATTGTATCCAAGACAATATTTGATTATACTAGACTTCCATTAGAATATTTAGGGTGTATTTAAATTTATAGATTTTACAAATTAGTTTAGATATTCATTGATTTTCAAATAAATGATATTTTAGTATATGAAAATTAGTACTATATCTCATTTATTTGTGTGGCATATTAAACGAAATGACATATGAATTTTATATGACATGTTATAAAAGGAATGACGGACTATTACACCATCCATAGTAGTCTTTTTGATAAATTATAGCGTTTTCGTAATAAATTAAGTTCACGTATATGAAAAAAATTATCTTTGTAATTTTTAAAGAAAAATAATAGATCAATTACAAATGATCATTTATCATCATATGTATAAGAGAGTAGTTAATAATTCACAAGTTTTAGTTAGGGTCATTTAATGATAATACAAAACTAGAATATATAGTAATTGATGTTTTTATTTTACAAATGCAACATTAATATATGAATATTATTTACAATGCGATACATGTAATTTATATTAAATAAGGTAAAATTATTTTTATACCTTAACTTCTTTATTCATGCATGTTGTATCTAGCTAGATAATTTGAGTCGAATAATCTATCTACAAAATCGTGCTTATTCGTCTCATTTAGTAAACCACATAACCTATACCAAAACTCAAAATTCTAACTGAGTTGATCACAAAGATGTTCAACTCGATAGACAATCTCGATTATTAGATGTTTGATTTTGGATTTCTTAAATATATAAGCGAAATTAGTGGACAACTCGATTCGAATAACAGTCCTCGGGTGAAAAATTATTTGTGTGTTTGACAAGAAAATAGAAATCATACCAAAATACGATAAATGGTAATAAATTTAAGAGAAATAAAAAAAAAAAATATACAGGGAGCTGTTGGGCATTTTCGACAGTGGCGGCAGTTGAGGGCATAAACCAGATTGTGACGGGGAATCTAACCGAATTGTCCGAGCAAGAGCTTATCGACTGCGACACGACTTACAACAACGGGTGCAATGGAGGACTAATGGATTACGCGTTTGCTTACATTGCCGAGAAAGGTGGGCTCCACAAGGAGGAGGACTATCCGTACGCTATGGAAGAAGGAACTTGTGGACTAGACATGGTAAATATTTTTCTTTTAATAAAAAAAGAAAGAATAATAAAAAAAAAACTTCAAAATTTCCGAAACTCAATGGTATTAATAACCTCCCGATGAAAAATCGTTTTCAGGCTGAGTCAGAAGTGGTCACCATCGACGGCTACCATGACGTGCCAGCAAACGACGAGCAGAGCTTGCTGAAAGCATTGGCTAACCAGCCTTTAAGTGTGGCCATTGATGCTTCTGGTGAAGATTTTCAGTTCTACAAAGGGGTAAGAAATATTATTTCTTGTGACAATATATAATAACTTCTAATTGTATAAATTAATATAATTACTTTTATATTATTTTGCTCTTTAGTGTTGTAAAGTTGTCAATATATCAATTTCTTGTACAATTGTATAATTAAAAATCACAATTTTTTATTCTTCTATTATATAATCAATTGTAAAGTTTTATTCAATTGTATAATTGTACAAAAATAATTAAAAATAAAGTGCTGTTAAAGTTAAAATATTTTTACTTCTTGAANTTCCGATTTTTCTCGTCGTGAAACTTTGAATGTAGGGTGTGTTTGATGGGAGCTGTGGAACTGAACTCGATCATGGAGTAGCGGCTGTTGGATACGGATCGATCGAGGGTTCGGATTACATCATAGTGAAGAACTCGTGGGGCCCAACATGGGGAGAGAAAGGGTACATAAGGATGAAGAGAAATACAGGGAAGAGTGAAGGGAAGTGTGGCATCAATAAGATGGCCTCTTTTCCCACAAAAAACAAGTGAAGAAAAAGTGAATGAAGTTGTTGTGATGTTAGGTTTACTTGCTATGAATATGATCAATTGTTACTCTTGTTCTACTGTATTCATACTTTCTTTGATTCATGTGTAATCTTTGTCCTGAAAATTGTATTGCAGAAATTCATTTGCTTGGAGTAATTTAATTTCTTCTTTTATATTATTAATATTTGTAGCAAAATTGGCATTGTAAAAGATTCTTTTTTCAGTAAAGGAAATATTAAAAATGAAATTATTGGCTTCTAATAGGGAAAAAGGGGAGCCTTTTCATTTATATATATGATTTTGCACCAAAGTAAAATACAAGTTCATAGGCATAGCACTAGCAGTTAGCACCACCAAATGCAGTGAAATGTAAATGTTCTTTAATTTCCTCTAGGCAAAATGGGGTCCCCATTGTAGAGCTAAAAGCAACTATCATCAGCACTCAACAAATTTTAAGACCTAAACATTGTCATGGGATGAAATTTTCCTATTCCAAAATCATAATCCAATTCCTAATCCGTTCCATTGGATGAACGACACGTGTTGATGATGACATCACAACTAAAACATGATCTTGAAACAGGAAATCCTTTCCAATTCCCATGACCTACCTTTAAAACAAAAGCAAGTTATTCTAACATTTCATACAAACAAACAAGACCAGAAGAGCATAGTGATTTCACAAAGGATATTGACATCAACACGTTCGGCACGACTTTCAGGAGTACGTTTCACCAAAAGCTAAAAAAACGAGATTTTTTAGTAGACACACATTGTTTGCACCGGTGATCATATTTTTGTAACAACGGCTTCAAATATTCCATCTGATCTGAAATTGGGACGAAACAGAGCTGGGTTGACGGGCCCCGGAAGGCTGAAGAAGAGGGTGAAAGGCCCTGGTGAGCATTGCTGTTGGATTTTCATCTCGAAAACTCGAGAGTGTTTGTTGACTATTTTCCTGCCGGTAGATGTCACGCCTCGAACCCACACCTTCCCATCCTTTTGTATATCACACTCGAATTCTCCTGATAATGACAATTGGATATATTTTCAAAAACTTCTGTTTATGTTGCTAGTGAGATGAGATGAAATTTTTTTACAAAAATTTGAAAAGTTCGACATGAGCAAATATCGCTTTTTTTNAAGAAGATAACAATAATAAAAAGGTTACCTGGTTCCTGCTTGACTCCAGGTAGAGCAATGCAGAAGTAATACGAAGATTTACCTACACCAATGTCTACACTTCCCACAGGTGGCCCCCTGCCTCTACAAGCTGTTCCGGTTATAACAGTTGAAATATCCGAGCACCATTTATCCACCTTTGAAGTGGTTAAAACGGGCAACACAAACTGCTGATCCAAATTGCTGTTCCTTCGAATTGAAGAAAATCGTGTAGAATCATAACACGGCCTTTTCTCACTAACTTCTTTGCATGTTATGGAAGAGTCCTCGCTGTCAGTTTTCACGTCCATCCTGCTTCTACTTCTTTTCCAAGTGATTTTCTTTACCTTCTCAGCATCCAAGCTATCCATGGCTTTAGCTGCTCAATTTTCTGCAGTCTCTTTGCCTAAATATATCAGAACAAACAGTTTGACTACGAAGAAATTACTAGTTAAACTAAGATATTGAATCTTGAGTGAATTAGTAGCCGAGTATTGGGAAAAAAAGATTATTCAGTCTCCTAATTCACATGGAAGTTAGTGCTATTCGTCACTTCTTACATCAACCATTTAAGAAACAAGATTCAAGGACTCAGTCATGGAAATCATTTTTGGTTCAGAATAAATCAAAGAGTTTGAAGAATTTAAAGCAATTTAAGAGGCTAACTTAAGATGTACAAGTATGTTAAATGTAGTTAACTGCAGTTTGAAGACACCAGTGAACACGATCTCAAAGTATTTTCCATATCACCAAGTTTTCGCCAATTTAATCAATTTTGGTATAACCATAATTTTAACATAGGTGCAAGCACAGTATATGACATCATACAGCTAGGGTTCTTGAGGACCCAAATCTTAGTAAATATTGATCGCTAATAGGAGTGTGAGGCGAGTAGGCTAACGGCAACTCAACCTAGGGCCTGAGCCCGACTCAAAACTAGGACGACTTATTTAAAATTTCATGCTAAGCGGGCATAACCGGAGCTCAAGCGCAATAATACAATAAATAAAAATTATATATAGAAGGCACTAAAAGACAATTAAGACCCATGAATCACAAGCAAATCTCTCAAAACCGATGCACATTTATGCTCAAGCCTACTTCCATAGAAGCTTACACTCAGCCAGACTGAGTTAAAGCACCAATCTTGCCTTAATGAACCAGCCCAACACACCATGCAAATTCCACCATTTTACATCAAATGCGGCTAACGCCGGGAATAAGGTTTCAGTAAAAAAAAATATCACAAAAATTGCTCACAATATCAACAGAACAGCATTATGCACCTCCAATTACTCATCCTAACCCGTCAAAAAAAGTTCCGATTTTTCGTTCATATTGCTGCAACAAAGATGAAGAATATTTCTAATTCCCAAGAACAAGATTGAATTTTTGTGTCTGTTTTTGGGAAGTTGCTTTGAAATAAACACCCAGGGGCCAGACACTATGAATCTAAATACAAAAAAAATGTTGAATGGGACAATGCAATAATTAATGGTGTTATAAGACAGAAATTGAGAAATGCAGTGTGATAAACCAACAATTTTCAAGAATTAAATGACAAAAGTACTTCGCATGCAAGAAAAGTCTCACTGATTGAAAGCTGAAAAGAGAATAAGGAGGAGAATAAGGGTACTGTAGCTAGAAGCAGAGGTTTTTGTCTGAAGATTAGTTACCCAACACGAAGCCGAGATTCGGACAAGATGGCTTTCTAGCTTGAGCTTCTTCCTTCGGAAACGATTGGACCGTTGAACAATGAAAGGAGTAAAAGATCTGTGTTGAAAAGGAGATTGTTGTTCTTTTTAATTTTTTCTTCTTGTCCTCCTTTTTTCTTAAAAAAAAATCATTTCTCCCGTCAAAATAGCCAAAACTTTAGTAAAAATGAAAATGTTATCTGATTTTACTCTAAAAAGAAATACTCTTTGCAACTTCTCTTTCCTTTTTACTCAGTATTAATTCCTTGTAAAAATTTATTTAATATTATAAAATATTAAATTAACTTAGACTATAAATACAATTCAAATAGCTGATAGTTGATCAGTAATTTTTGAGCTTATAGCTTATAATTTATGACTTATAGCTGAAAAGCTAGCTTATATGATAAAAATATTTAGTAAAATTAGTTGATAAGTTAGCTGAAATAAAAATTTCAACGAGCTTATTTGAAAATAATAGAAAATAAAGATGAGATATGAGAAAATAAAGAAAATAAAGATGGGATATGAGAAAAGAAATTCCTTTCACGCGCAGGTAAAAGGGAAAAGAAATTTCTTCCACGCGTAGCTTTAATCCTTTACTTTTACAATTGAAAATTTAGAATTTTTACATCTTTTTCCACATCGGTAACCACAAAAATGTTAGTTGCTTTATAAAAGTGTTAGAATTTATACATAAAACTTATTTAGCCGAATTGACCAAAAAAAAAAAAAAAAAAAAAAAAAAAAAAAAAGACTGGTTGAACCAACCCGTTTTTGGCCGGTTCGACCGGTCATTAACTGATTTTTGACCGTTTTTGCTGACAGCCAGTTTCTTCCATAGAACCGGACCGGTGAACTGGCCGGTTCCTTGTTCAACCGGCCGACCGGTCCGATTTTGACAACCTTAGGAAAGCTACCCAAAGAAGCTTATCAAATAAGTTCGAGCTTTTAAAATAAGTTCGTTGAAATTTTTATTTCAGCTAGCTTATCAGCTAATTTTAGCAAACACTTTTATCATATAAGCTAGCTTTTCAGCCGTAAGTCATAAGCTATAAGCTATAAGCTAAAAAATTACTGATAAACTATAAGCTAGCTTATCACCTAGTTTTACCAAACATAGCCTAAATGTCTAGTAAAAATTAGGTGATAAGTTAACTTGTCTGTAAAGTTAAAAATTAACTTATATGATAAAAGTATTTGGTAAAATTAGCTAATAAGTTAACTAAAAAAATAAAATTCAATTAGTTTATTTGAAAATCTACCTAAAATAGTTTATGAAATTAGTTCGAGTTTAACGTAACACCCACCTGCGGGTCGGGTATATGTCTTTTCTCTTCAAACCCTACTACCGTCGCCTCCATCTCCCCTTCCCCCATTCCTAAATATATTACGTTTGTCAAAGTAGAAAATATAGATTGTACGGGATACCTGTATCCTTATTCTTTTCTTTTGTCCGATTTATTTATTTATCAGAGTTTTGTATGTAGATCGTTAATCGATGCTTGAGCTTCTTTGTCATATAACTCCGTGGTCACCTGAGATCCCAGAGTCAATTGTGCGGCAGCCACCGCCGGCCCGCCTCGACTACCAAAGGCTGCCAGTAAAGAAGAAGCGGACGCTCAGATTTCTCCCTTCAAATTCCTGCTTCCACGCGATCACCAGGTTAGGTTAGGTTACATCCATATAATTAATTTGTATTTTTTTAGGTCAAATTCTCAGTTTTTATCCACCATATGCAGATTATTGGTGGGCGCACATTCTACCCGAGGAGGTGTAGAAGGAAGAGGCCAGTTTCAGGCTTAGACTCTCTATCCGATGAATTGTTGATGGAAGTCCTTGCACGCATCCCAGGCAAAGATATTACGAGGCAAGGCTTGTTTGCCGCAAATGGTACCAGCTCATTCACACCCGCGGTTTCATGCGCTCCTACTTAGACCACGCCACTTATGGGCTCCTATCCAAATGTACAATTCTGGGCTCATATTTAATGCTCTCACAAGGAGGGGTCCGAGTCGAGATTACTAAGTTGAGGTACAAACGCAGGCCCATTGTCACAAATTGTTGTAATGGATTGTGGTCAGAGAATCAGCTAGGGGATAGGGATAATCTGTATGTCATGAATCCCAGAACTGGCCAAGTCGTTCTTCTTCCTCCACTTGTCAACCGTGTTCAAACTGGATTTCATGCAATTGGGTATGTACCGGCTTCCATGGAGTATAAAGCGGTTATATGTTGGCCTGAGAGTGTAATATACGAAAAGATGTGGTGTTATATATTAAACGTTGGAGTTGATAAATCATGGTGGAAAGTTGAATTCGAGTCAACAACGCCATTGCGAATGCATCAGTTGATGATTTCTGAAGGTTTCATGCATTGGACTCATCCCACTACCAACCAAGTCTTGACTCTGAATCTGGAGAATGAAATTTTTACAGAGACCCCTGGCCCTGTCCCTTTAGGTGGAACTGTGAATGTAAATAATATTTACCTTTCGACGGGAAGGTATCTATCGTTACTGCGTTGTTGTGGGGATTATTCGTGGGAGATTTGGGAGATGAGTCGACCTGAAATGGGGGAATGGAGAAAGAAGGCAGATTTTTCATTGGAGGCTCACAAGGGAAGATTCGAAGAGTTAGGTCTTCGACATGATGTGTTATTAATCCCAGTTGGGTGGGTCAAGTATTCAGAGTTGTTGGCCCTGAAATCTGATGATGAGAAGCGCTGGGCTGTTGGCTTTTTATAAAATCTTGTTACGCGAGAATTCAAAAAAATCGAGTTTCCTTTCTACATTCCTATGTGCAATATCATGGTGCATAAGAGTAGTTTGGAGTGGTTGGATGCTGCTGCAGTGTAGCCTCCCCCCTCCATCCATCATCTCCATTGCTTCATCCGTATTTAATTAATTATACTTTTTGTTCTACCTTTTCTAATGTATATATTCGAATATGTGGGAATTTTTACTATTATAAGCCATGAAAAGATTCTATTCAGTTGCTTTTGTTATTTCCTTTCTTGGACCAATTCCATTATTACATTCCATGATTCCTCTTTGTGTGAATTGTTTTCTCCAGTGCCGCGTTTTCTCACTATCTCCTTTGCATGTTATTGAAGAGTCTTCGCTATCAGCTTTCACGTCCAGCCTGCTTCTACTTCTTTTCCAAGTGATTTTCTTTACCTCCTCAGCATCCAAGCTATCCATGGCTTTAGCTGCTCAATTTTTTGCAGTCTCTTTGCCCAGTATATCAGAACAAACAGTTTGACTGCAAAGAAATTACTAGTTCAACTAAGATATTGAATCTTTAGTGAATTAGTAGCCAGAGTATTGGGGAAAAACGATTATTTAGTCTCCTAATTCACATAGAAGTTAGTGGTATTCGTCACTTCTTACATCAACCATTTAGAGAAACAAGATTCAAGGACTCAGTCATGGAAATCATTTTTGGTTCAGTATAAAGTAAAGAGTTTAAAGAATTTAAAGCAATTTAAGAGGTTAAGAACTTAATATGTACAAGTATGTTAAATGTAGTTAACTGCGGTTTGAAGACACCAGTGAACACGATCTCAAAGTATTTTCCATTTCACCAAGTTTTCACCATTTTAATCAATCTGGGTATAACAGTATAAGCATAATTTTGTGAGTAGGCAGAGGAATCGAATAAAACAGAGGTGCAAGCACAGTATATGACTGTGTCATCAAAATGAAGTCAAGTTTTTAAATTTCATGCTAAGCGGGCATAACCAGAGCTCAGACGCAATAATACAATAAAAAAAAATATACTTCCTCTTTTTTTTAATAGATGTCGTTTTGAAAATTTGCACACTAATTAAGAATATTTTTTTTTGTGTCTGTTTTTGGGAAGTTGCTTTGAAATAAACACCTAGGGGCTAGACACTATAAGCATTTTGTTTATAAGAAATTTTCAAAAAAATTTCAACAATTTAACTTAACTACTTTTTTTAATTCAATCCAACTATCATCAATATTATCAATATAATTAAATAATATCAATCAATCATTTACACACACTAAATCAAATTTAATTCACTATTCATCTACTCACATTATTTTAACTAACTATCACGTCAAATCATCTCTCTCTTCCTTTTACATCAAATCAATTTTAATTATTTTATTTTAAATATTATTTTAATAGATTCATTAACAACTAACCATACCACATTTTTCAAATTAATCAGACCAAACCAAAAAATCCAAACAAAACAAAACAATTCTATAAACAAAGAATCTAAATACAAAAAATGTTGAATGGGACAATGCAATAATTAATGGTGTTATAAGACAGACATTGAGAAATGCAGTGTGATAAACCAACAATTCAAGAATTAAATGACAAAAGTACTTAGCATGCAAGAAAAATCTCACTGATTGAAAGCTGAAAAGAAAATAAGAAGAAGGAGAATTAGGGTACTGTAGCTAGAAAGCAGAGCTTTTTGTCTGCATATTTAGCTACCCAACACGAAGCTGAATTTTCGGACAAGAGGGCCTTCTTGCTTGAGCTTCATTCTTGGAAAACGATTCGAACGTTGAACTATGAAAGGAAGAAAAGATCTGTGTTGAAAGGGAGATTGGTGTTCTTTTTATATTTTTCTTCTTTTCCTCCTTTTTTTACAAAGANTTTAATTATTTTTTACTGAACATATAAAAATAATATACCTACCTTTATAAATTAAATATAATCTATCAATTTTAATTAAAAAACATAATTATTATTTATTAATTAAACAAACTATAGATCAAGCCATATGAATTAAAAAAATATATTGTAATATAAAAGGTTTGAACCTTGAGGAATGACATTTTATAAAATAAAATAAAAAATAGTTTTTATTTATTTTTATTTTTTTTTATACAATATTTTAATTAACACCCTATTAAGTTTAAGTATGTTGTACAGCTAGGAATAATTTATGAAAAATATCAAATCCAAAATGCAATGTTTCCCAATTTAAATAAATGCCATTAAATAGCAGTTATGATCTAGGAGTTCACAGCACATAGTATTTTCTCAATTCCGAAGGTCTTTCTTTCTAAAGCCTTGATCAGCAAAAACTAGAGTCTTTGCATACAACTTCGCACCAAGAATCTGAAGATGCATTTTAGCGAAAACGAGGGGATTGAGAAAAAAACCTTCGTGGTAACAGGCGGGCTGGGCTTCGTCGGCTCGGCCCTCTGCTTGGAGTTGGTCAGAAGAGGAGCCCGTCAAGTCCGGGCCTTTGACCTCCGGCCCGAGTCCCCTTGGTCCAACGATCTCCGCAGTCGGGGAGTTTCTTGCATTCAAGGTGTGCATATATATGCGTGTGTGTATTTGTTTTGTTTTATTTCCTTTTAGCAGAAAACATTGTTTGACCTTAATCAGCTTGTGAAATCAAGATTCAATCTTTTTTCTGCCAATTATCAGTCTATGGAGCATATTTGTGAATGAATGCTGTAAAAATGTACTGAACTTGATTCTGTGATCATAGATCGAGGGTTAATTCCTTACTGCCCGTGTGAACCCTTGGATCAACACATACCCACATGGGTGTGTGTGAGTGTGGGTGACCCAACGGTGATAAACCTCGTTTAGTCACTGCCCACACGGGTAGGATCGAACTTACCCAGATTGAGAAAGGGGAAGAGGGCGAAACGAAATTTTTTATTCGATTTTATTTCAAGTGATGGTATGTGATTTCCTTTTCGATTGAGTGGGTCTTTTTGAAGTTGTGAATTTGTAGGAGAATCGAACTTGTTATACTTCATTTACCTGGGATGAGTGATTTTACAATGCTGTTGATGGTTTCTAAAGCTTTGATGGCTTTTAGTTGAAGGAAATAAAAGGGAAACTAATTAGAAAAAACACAATGAAGCTTTCACACACTACTATATCAGTGTAAAAAGAAGGGCCTTGGACAATGNAAAAAAAAAAACGACTTCTATTAGTTGCTTCTCTTTGTGTGTGTGTTCTTGTCGAAATTTGCATCAGGGTAAAAAGATGTTACTTAACTCGGTAATCAATTGAAACCATGACTGAAAGTTGTATTTACTTAGGTGATGTTTCCAATAAACAAGACGTTGAGAAGGCCTTGCATGGGGCAGACTGCGTTTTCCACCTTGCTTCTTACGGCATGTCCGGAAAGGAAATGCTTCAATTCGGCAGAGTTGACGAGATTAACATTAACGGGACACTCCACGTGTTAGATTCTTGCGTGGAGCACGAAGTCAAGAGACTCGTTTATGTCAGCACGTATAATGTCGTTTTCGGAGGGAAAGAAATCGTAAATGGAAATGAAGCCTTGCCTTATTTCCCCATGGATGAACACGTTGACCCGTATGGCCGTAGTAAATCCATAGCCGAACAACTCGTCTTGAAGAGCAATGGTCGGCCCTTCAAGTGAGTGTCAAAATTTAAAATACCGTGTGTTTAAATTAACCACATGGGTTATGGTGAATTTTTTACCTTTTTAACTCGGCGGGTAAATTATTTATTTTTTGTTGATGGGCTGTGCAGGAGCAAGAAAGGAAAGTTATACACTTGTGCTATTCGACCAGCAGCTATATATGGTCCGGGTGAAGAAAGGCACTTCCCAAGGATTATAAAACTAGCAAAGTTGGGCCTCGTGCCTTTCAAGATTGGGGGAAAGAATGTAAAATCTGACTGGGTTTATGCCGATAACCTCGTTTTGGCCTTGCTATTGGCTAGCATGGGCCTTTTGGACGACATTCCCGGTCGGCTCGGTCAACCGGTTGCTGCCGGTCAACCCTACTTCATATCAGACGGTAAAAATTTGTCATTCGTTTTAATTATCTGAAGTATTTTTGAAAAATAATGTAATTTTCTATGGCTTTCTGTTTTTTTTCTTAATCAACAGGCTGTCCGGTCAACAGTTTTGAGTTCATCAAGCCACTGCTCGAGGGTTTGGAATATGACTTGCCAAAGTTGACGTTGACTGTACAGCATGCTCTTTTTCTAGGGAAGTTTTTCTGGGTGTTCTATTCGCTTTTGTATCCGTGGCTTAATCGGAAGTGGCTTCCTCAACCTTTGATCCTTCCTGCTGAAGTGTACAAGGTTCGACTTACATAAGTTTTCGTGCTGAAGTAGTGTACAATGGTTCGACATGGATGCATTTCGTGGGTTTTTTGTCTCGTTTTTTCATGTTCTTTCCAGAACGAAATGTGTGCGCTTGCTCTTTTGTCCATTCCCATGTCATAAGTCGTAGCAAATTGTATATGGATGTGGTTTGGTAAGCATATAAGTTAGCTTATAGTTTATTTGGTTAGCTTATAAGTTTCATGTATTCAAACAAGATTTGGTTTGGTAGGACGAACTTTTTCTAGCTTTTCAAATAAGCCAATTGAATTTTCTGTGTCAGCTAATTTTACCAAACACTATTATTTACACTATTATTTTTCAGCCATAAGTCATAAAGTATGAGCTATAAACTCAAACTTCACTTAAAATCTATAAACTAGCTTATCAGCTTGGTTTACCAAACATAGTCTATATTTATGCATACTTTGATCTCGTCTTTTTCCAATGCCGAGCAGGTTGGCGTGACCCACTACTTCTCGATCCTTAAAGCAAAGGAAGAACTTGGCTACAGGCCTTTGGTAAGCCCTCAAGAAGGAATGTCCAAAACAATCTCGTACTTTAAGGACAAGAAACGGAAAACATTGGATGGGCCCACCATATACACTTGGGCCTTTTGTGTAATAGGGATGGCCACGTTGTTTTGTGCCGTGTACTTGCCCGATATCGGGCCCATTCCCTTGTTTAGAGCTTTTAGCCTTTTCTTCATGCGCTCGATGAACACGATGAGACTCGTTTTCCTACTTTCTGTGGCGGCTCATTTTGTCGAGGCCGTTTATGCGTGGTGGCTTGCGAGAAAATTCGATCCTTCGAACGCGAGAGGTTGGTTCTGGCAGACGTTGGCTTTGGGGTTTTTTTCGTTGCGTTTTCTGTTGAAGAGGGTTAAAGAAGTGAAGTCACAAGTTTTACATAACAATGATGACAAATGATGAGTTACATTGTGATGTTCTTTTGTAGTTGATGAGATGTTTGTATTTGACAGAGTGTACTGAGAATTTCCAGTTTTCTTGGTGTAATGGTTAAATCATGAGAACTAGAAATTGATCTTAAATCTTAGTTCTTAAAGTTATTATTCTTGTACAAATTGCACCATGTATTTGTGAGGACACTAGGCGACTTTTTTACTATTGGAACACGCTTCTCATATATTGATCCAACAATTAAAAATTCAGTGATATAAATGTGTGCTAATCTAATGATTAAAAAATCAATGGCAAAAGCAAAATAAGAGCTGAAAATAAATATAATTGGATCCACACACGACCTTCGACCTTCATATAAGTGTGTGTGTGTTGATCCAACGATTAAAATTCTAGGCTAAAATTTCCTCAACAGATAATAGATCATTGGCAAAAGCAAAATAAGAGCTGAAAATAAACATAAATAACGAAACAACCTGAAGCAAACACACTGTAAAATTATCTCTTCTTACACTTGAACCGTCAAGAACGAAAACAAACTAGGAAGCGGGCAATAACAGACACTACATAAGTAACAACACTAAAGAGGAGTTTTTTTCGGTCGATTAAAAAGCTCCAACTCTACCTGAATGTCGCAAAAGACTAACTACTACAGTCGACCAGAAATAGCCCCGTGGTCCTTATTCTAACAGTAAAGTTACAGAAAAAGAAAGCACTTAAAAAGGTTATGTTTCCACTCAAAAAGCACTTAAAAAAAGAAAAAAAAAAAAAAAANAAAAAGATTCACTTCCAAGGCATTGCTGACATGGAATGGGGATGGTTGTTATTGCACGCACCAGAGCTGAGATTTATCGGGCTGGCGGGCCCACCAGATGATCCACTAAACGTAGCCCGTGAAGGTGAGCTGCTGGTACCAAGGTTCACCTTTGGGGGAGCCGATAATGGCTCAATGTAGTTTGCAGATTTCGCTTCTTTTCGATTATCGGGCATGAAGCTTCCGACTATTACCTGGAATTTAGAAATTATGTAATTTTTTTTTTTAAAAAAAAAGCTTTTTTCTTCTTTTTTTTTTTTTTCAATAAGGGGGATGAATAAATGTATGAAGAAATAAATTCTAGGACTTGGGAGCATAAATGTGGGAGAAATCTATAATCTTCTGTGCTTTATGTAATAATCAATAATTAGCACTAATGGTCTAATATACATTTATTCAGTAGGACTTAATAAAAGATGGAACATATAATGCTTGCTTAGGGGGTTGCCTAAGATGAGACAAGGGAAGTGAGAATTTTAAACAGCAGACTACATTATGAGATTTGGACCACAGCAGACAAAAGTAACTTACTAAGGCATGTGAATCAAAAAAGGTACAATGGGGCAAAACATAAAATAATCAAAATTCCTAAGGTTGTGGAGTTTGTCTGTCATTACAATTTTTTGTCATTTTCTGAGCCAATAGAGGGTAATTTTTCATTTCTGAAGAAATAAAAGATCATAATATAAAGTGTGATTGTATGTGGTGTAAGATGGTAATATGGAAAAAAAATGATGAAGTGAACCAAGAAAATAGACAATTTTTACTTGGATCAAGATGATACCTATAAAATGGTGATGAGTAAAACTATAAAAGAACAAAAGGATAGTGTGTTCTGGTATTAAGATGTGTGACAAGAAATGAGATTCTTCTTCTATATCCTTTTACCTTTTTCCACACAAAGTACATAATTCCACCTGTTTTCACTACAAAATAAAGAAGAAAAAAAAAATGGAACAAATATAATAAAATATACAGAAAATATCAACCTAAAGACTGCCTTTCCCGAACAAATAATTTCTATTTTCTACTTTCTTTGCTCTTAGCCAACCGAGATTGATCACAAGATTCTCTTCATCACATTTTTAGATTCATTTAATATGGCCAATGACTGGCATTCACTCTTGCAACATAAATAATATCAAATCATATGAAAAATACTTTTTCAAGGTTATTACGTTGCGCATTCAAGTCAAAAGATGGCAGTCAAAATTTGCCGAAAGCAATTCTACCTGAACAGGAGAGGCTGCTATAAGTAAACCGGCCACACAACCACCAAAAACCCTTCCATCAGGCCCAGCTAATGTTGTGCTCAATCCACCACTTCTGCTTTTATGGCCACCAATATCCGTCAGCATAAAAGACCCCGAGAGAGATAATACATCAAATCTTCCCTACACCAAACCCAAAAAAAAAAAGATTATGGTAATATGAATTTTAACAGTCCATGGATGTTCGGCGGGAAAATTTGAATTATACCAACACAAAGCCATTTCCTGAAGTCTGAAATTTTTTACAAGTGACAATTGAAAAGAATCCATGAATTAGGTCTCCTTAAAATCAAAAAGACATATAGAGAAAATGAGAGGCAAAAAACGATAAAAAAAAAAAAAAAAAACNAAAAAAAAAAAAAAAAGCATACCTCGTAAGTTGCAGTGCCACCGGAAGTTGCAGCTTGGCGGAGTGTGACATTAGATATGGCACCATTCGCTGATAGGATACAAACAGCCCTTGGGCCATTCTGAGAAAATGCCATTATTTTCGAAGATACATCCTGAAAAATCCAATAGTTAAATACTCGTCAAGATGTGGGAAAATCACTTGTTTATCATAGTTTTGTGCCATGAGAAAAATGTAGAAGGGACCAACAAAACCCTCTTAATAAACTGGGTCAACGTCAAACATGACATTATAAATGCATTCTCAGAATCAGGTACAAGAAGTTTGTATATATGATTTATGTCATACTTGAAACATCAAAGTAAATCCTATGATTTATGATTTATTGATGCAACCCGGAAAGAAAATTATTTTCTGAGGATTTAAAATAAAAGAACAAAAATGTCTGAGTTTGTTAACCTCTCCTGGCTTCACTTCGATCACATGAGGTATGAATCCAATCCCAGTTGACCCTGCAAATTCAATTTTAAGATCATTGGAATAATAATAAAAAATACAATGCTGAGCAACTGAGCCGAACTGAGAGAATATGTAGGTAAACAAATTAATATATGAGACATTCATGTAAATAAAAACCTCAAAATTTTATAATTGAAAAGATAGTTAGACTATGAAGCAAATGGTAGCAGAACTAAAAATTAAGTCCACCCCTTTAGAAAATCAAATGCAGCAAAGAATATACTAGATAACAATCTAGCTCAAGCATGGTTGGAAACAGTAAAGTAAAAGAATATTTATCACATAAACTATAGATATAAAATAAAGCAGAAATGTGACACAACTCTTGTTACTTGGAGAGAACCGCATAAGTCATACTATTAAGTATTTTAATAGCAAAAAAGAAGGTAGCTGCACACATGGGGGTAAGCTGGTCAATTCCCTTTAATTAGATTCTTGAGGTTGGTCAGAAGATCCAGCAGATACACATATACACTATTAAATATCCATATAAAGATCACAGACAGATAAAAAATTATACATTTCTCATCACTATATATTCTAAATCAAAGAGTGACACCTATTTATAGTCATTCTCCGGAACAAAACTATCAAAAACTAAAAGCAGAAAACATAAATAGTTCAATGCATCACAAACCAAATAAAATATGAACCAATGGAAGGTCAACTAGAAGTTAGGAATCTCAAAACTTTATCATACTCCCTCACGTCAGTCACACCAAATATTTATTTATTACTACACATATCCAATGCTAAAAGCCTAAAACATCTGATATCCGTTCTCCACTAAAGGTAAAATCTTTGATTTCCTCACAAAAATATATTATTCCACTCTGTTATTGGGGCCCAAAAAAATTAAAAAAAAAAAAATGAAATTGAGTAAGTCTTATAGATAACAGAAACCCAAAAGCCCAACATTACCAACAACTTCAACTTGCTTCTTCTTGTTGACTGAACCCGGTGGTCTGCCCCTCTTCTTGACCACCGGCGAGGCCAGCCCGCCCACCGGAGGCTGAGGTGTCGGCACAGGCATTGCCGGCGGTGGAGGAGAGAAAGCCTGCATCTGATTCTGGTGCACGCCGGAGTTAATCGGCTGCTGGCCGGAGGCCATAGCCATGGCCGGCATGTTGCCATCCGGCCCGTACTTCCTGGGCCGGCCCCTTTTGCGTTTCTGGTCGCCGGAGTTCAGATTCATGGCCACAGGTGGGCCGCCGGACATCGGTTGGTAAGATGGTGGGGAGCCCACGGATCTGTAAGCGCCATCGGTGTAAGACACGCGCATTTGCTGATCCAGCTGATGCTGTGAAGCGGCCGGGTTTTGGACCTGCCCGGCTGAGGCCATGGCGTTGATTGGAAAAGGCTCGCGGCTTGACATGACGGAGGCTGTTTCAGATACACCCGACATTTATGCAGGGCTTACGGAATTACCTGATGAGTCAGGTGAAAAAAAAAACGGGAATTTTAGCAGATCTCAGTAGAGTTTGAGAAACTTCGGCTTAAACTAAACCCATAAAGGATGAATTTCGCCATTTTTTTTTTTTGTTGTTCAACTGGAAACAAGCAGGCCCAAAACGCTATGAAAGAACTCGAAATTCGAGAAATGGAAAAACTTGGTAAAGAAAATTTGATTTTCAGTAAATGCGAAAGCGAAAAGTGGAAGATAGCTGTTTTCTACTGTAAAATCTTGAAGAATCAGCAGGGCTTGCAGAATTTTATCAGGGATCGAGCAAAAAACAAGAAAAGAAGCTCGAAATTAAACGCCGAAAAAGGAAAAAGAAACGATTTTTAAAAAATCCATAAGTTTACTTAAATAATACCCTGAAATTCACACAATAAAACGAGTAAATCAGAAAAAATTGGAGAAAAATCAGAAAAAACTTACTGATAAAAGGGAAATTTTTCTGCCGCAAGCTCGAATTAAGATGATATAATCGATGGGGCATAGAAATTTCTAGGGATTTTGAATGAAAAAAAGGGTTTTTGCGAAGAAAAGCTTTTCGTAAAATAGCAGAACAGTTAAATTCTTTATATTTACGAAGCGGCCGTTTTCGTTAAATTCTTTCCGCATTTTACCATTTTTGCAATTAAAGCGTGAAAATTAGGTTAAATGAAATAATACAACTTTCATCATCACTTTATCATAATTTCTTTTTTGTCCCCCAACTTTTTATAAGATACATGACTAGGGATGAAAACGATCGGGAACGATCGGCATAGGGCTCAACCATTTCTACTTTCATATTTTTTTCTCGAAAACGAAAATGATACGATAATG